TTGAAACGGGTGAAATTCCTCAGAAGAACATCGATGTAATGTCGAAAGCTCAAGATGAGGCAAAACACGTACAAGAAAAGGTACATCATTCTCATCCACTCTTTTTTATCAATCCATTTATTTACCATTAGAAGTTGTTTTTTCAAGGTGCTCAAGAAAAGAAAGAAGGCAGCAAAGAAGGCTAAGAAGATCAAGGAGCAGGCTGAAGCTGAAGGTGGAGAAGCAGCTGAACCAGTTATCGCAACACCAGAAAAGAAGCATAAAAAACGTGCGGCTGAAGAACCTGTCGAAGAAGCTGAAGCAGAAGTTTCCGAAAAGCCGAAGAAAAAGAAGAAGAAGGCGAAAAAGGTCGAGGAAGCGATGGAGGAGTAGTGCTAACGTTAGCAATTTGTTATTGTTTGTTTACTGTTTCATGTTGTTGACTGTTGATTTTGAGTTACAAACATATGAACTGTTGGAGGTAACTGTGTATAAAAAATAATTGTACATAATCTGATGCAATCTCATAAAATATTTTCCGTCTGGGCTTCAGAATGTAGATGAGCAGATTTTAGTAAAAGATTATTAGATGAATGCTTGTTATAGCTATTTGACTCAAACTTTCAACTTTTCCCTAACAAAGAGTTTATCGTTGACAAAAGCACGAGAGCAGTATAAGCATCAATCATCAGTCCAGTCTGTTATAATCAGTATCCTCAAAGTTGCATAAAATCGTTAAAGTTATTTCTCATGCTAATTCTTACCATGCAGGAGTGTTTACGGTAGCAATGGTAATCTGATCAAGTAACAATAGAATACTGAGGATAAGAAAACATGGCGAATATGGGGGAAGCGCTTCTCTTGCATAGTACTGGTCTAGCAATGTTTAAATAGACTTTACCGCAAAAACGCTGAAAATTATTCGAATCCTTTAAACAATTTCGCGGTCAGGATTTCTTTTGGTAAGACTATTTTTTCAAATAAACGTACAGGAAACACTAGAAATTCATAGGACCATCGTTCCCACATAAGTCGAAATTGGACCAAAGATACTTTCGTCACGTTTTTCCGATCTAAAAGTGGTGACAGTAGTAACATGAATGTAATAGAAACAATAGATTGTTTCGGATTATTGGGTAAGTTCGTAAAGCTATTAACAAAATTAAGAATAAAAAGCCGTAAGTTTTGGCAACATATCATAAATCTTTTAAGAGAAGGGTCTTGCTCATAAGGTAGATTTGCTTATCTAAAAAATCCTGGAAACCAGTTAAAAACGCTGTATTAAGCAAAGTTTCCTTTACAAGATAGGGTGCACTATTTATATTTCCAGTGAATCAGCATTTAATTGAGATTGAAATTATAGAATGTCAAAGAGCCTAACCGACAGTAGAGCCTTTTGGAAGGGATAATCTCAAAAATTGTTATAACACCACCTAGTGGTACAATTGTGCTACAGACGTAATCATTCTCCTAGACCTTGGTATAGTAGGACTACGATAGGTATATGCACTATTCAAGATAACTGAATATCGAAGTTGCTTAATTGACATGAATTACGAAAATTATGTTAATTACCCATGTCAAGACTATTACCAGGTACAAAATTACTCCAATTTTCCTTTCTAGGCAGATCGATGTTGATGTTATTTCTATGACTGTCAATTAACCCTAGTACAGTATTCTCAGATCAATCAATTATTTTACCTCTGCGGCTATACCTATCGTACTAAAGTGAGGTCTAGCGAGGGTATGGATGTAATATTTGTAATTAGCATATTCAGTTATCTACTTATGCGTGTTAGAATTTTCGATCTTACCACAGTTAATAAAATAAGCTGTCGATTGAGCATTTTTGGATACTATCAAAATTTGACTCTAATGGCATTTAATAAAGCCGTAGTCATTGCGCAAGCCAAGCATACTCCGATGTAGAAGGAGTCTTCTTTTTAATTGTTATGCGTCTACTGTTATACGGTTCATTGCCGGAACTTCTTGCTTTGTGAAGTTTTTTTTTGCGTTCGAAGAAAGCAGCGCGAACGTACCGGTAACCCAGTTTGTGGGATAAATCACTACGCCAAAATTGGCTGGATCATATATATATAATCATTATAAAAGAGCATATGTACAACTTTCTCGGGTCATAGA